GACCCCAAATAGCCAAAGCAGTCATGAGGGAAAAATACGGAGCTGTAGGAATCGGGCTCCCTGACTTCAGAGTATACTACAAAGGAACAGTAATCAAGACAATATGGTACTGGCACAAAAACAGAAATATAGATCAATGGAACAGGATAGAAAGCCCAGAGATAAACCCACATGGTCAACTAATCTATGACAAAGGAGGTAAGGATATACAGTGGAGAAAAGACAGTCTCTTGGTGCTGGGAAAACTGGACAGCTACATGTCAAAGAATGAAGTTAGAACACTCCCTAACACCACACACAAAAATAAACTCAAAATGGATTAGAGACCTAAATGTAAGACTGGACACTATAAACCTCTTAGAGGAAAACATATGAAGAACACCCTTCAACATAAATCACAGCAAGATCTTTTTTGATCCACCTCCTAGAGTAATGGAAATAAAAACAAAAATAAACAAATGGGACCTAATGAAACAAAAGCTTCTGCCAAGCAAAGGAAACTACAAACAAGAGGAAAAGACAACCCTCAGAATGGGAGAAAATATTTGCAAACGAATCAACAGGACAAAGGATTAATCTCCAAAATACATAAACAGCTGATGCAGTTCAATATTAAAAAAACAAACAACCCAATCCAAAAATGGGCAGAAGACCTAAATAGACATGTCTCCAAAGAAGACATACAGATGGCCAAGAAGCACATGAAAAGCTGCTCAACATCACTAACTATTAAAGAAATGAAAATCAAAACTACAGTGAGGTATCACCTCACACCAGTTAGAATGGGCATCATCAGAAAATTTACAAACAACAAATGCTAGAGAGGGTGTGGAGAAAAGGGAACCCTCTTGCACTGTTGGTGGGAATGTAAATTGATACAGCCACTATGGACAACAGTATGGAGGTTCCATAAAAACTAAAAATAGAATTACCATATGACCCAGCAATCCCACTGCTGGGCATATACCCAGAGAAAACCATAATTCAAAAAGACACATGCACCCCAATGTTCACTGCAGCACTATTTACAATAGCCAGGTCATGGAAGCAACCTAAATGCCCATCGACAGATGAATGGATAAAGAAGATGTGGTACATATATACAATGGAATATTACTCAGCCATAAAAGGGAACAAAATTGGGTCACTTGTAGAGACATGGATGGATCTAGAGACTGTCATACAGAGTGAAGTCAGTCAGAAAAACAAATATCGTATATTAATGCATATATGTGGAACCCAGAAAAATAGTACAGATGAACCAGTGTGCAGGGCAGAAATAGAGACACAGATGTAGAGAACAAACGTATGGACACCAACGGGGGAAAGTGGCCGGGGGGGTGGGGGGGGGTGGGCGTGGTGGTGTGATGAATTGGGAGATTGGGATTGACATGTATACACTAATATGTATAAAATGGATAACTAATAAGAACCTGCTGTATAAAAAAATAAAATTCAGAAAAATGAGTACAATTGATATAATAGAAAAAAAAAAATTATGTTCTCTCCTACTGTAAGGTCACTGAACGTGCTATTTCCATTGCCCAACAGTGCTCTCTAAATACATTTTATCCTTCAAGCCTCAGTTCAAAGTTCATTTTCTCATGGAAACCTTCCCTGACCCTGTGACTAGGTCTCTTTCATATCATTACTTTCCTACAGCAATTAACACAACTGTAATTTTATGTGTTGTCCATGGATTAACGACCGCCTTCTACGCTTGCCTTTAACATCTATGAGAGCACTGAATGGAATTCCCAGCACCAAGCAAAGCACCTTCACACAGTCGGTGCACAAATATTTGTTAAATATACAAATGTTGTCTAAGTAACTAACATGATCTCTATAACTCCCAATTTCTCAGATTTCTTCAGTTCAGCATTTTACTAATCTTGATCAGTATCAACACCCAAATCAGACTTAGGTCTTTATTTTCTTGCCTCCATACCATCAAAGCAAAGGCTAAGTTGGTATAAATTTCAATTAAAATCTGTTCTTCTAGTAGTTGCTTCATTTACCTCTTAAAACTCCATTTAGAAGTTGGTTGTCCTAAAATTATAGCAGTGGATTCTTAAATTAACAAAAACTGGAAAATTCTGCTGTATTCTGCTTATGTTTTGATATATTAACTTCAACCCACTATTCTTAGTAAATCAACTGTCAAATGTTCAAATAAGTGTTAACCATAAAGAGCTGTAGATAGTAATCTCTTTAAACTCCAACAACTGATAAAATGCTGTAAATCTGATGACATGTTAATTCACATGTATGGGAGGAAAAAAGCATGCATACAAACATGCCAAACAGTACCTGTCAGAATACATTTACACAAAAAAATCACAAGAAAGGAAAATGTGACGAGAGAACTTTATTTTAAGCTCTGATTAGAGAACTTCCTTTTTTTTATGTTTAATACTTAAACGTCCAAATAAGCAGTACAAATTTTTTTCCCCAAATATGCAATCAATGTCATCAAACTTATCTAATTCAATTGCTCAATCAACGGATGTAATAAATCAAACACTCAGGTACATAAAGTAAGTCTGTGCCTCTCTGTAGGCTTCCAGAGGAGCCACATTTGTCTTGTTCACCAAGGTATCTTTAGCCCTTGGCACAAGCAGGTACTGAATGAGGATTTACTGAGAAAATACATCAACACAAAATAGGAAAGTTTGTTTTAAGCTATTTTGCATGCTTGATCTCTCTCCCTTCAACTCCATTTATGTGTTGGGTTATTTTTTTCTATTAGCAATTACAAAAGTGCCACAATTAACAGATGATATATTGAGCTAAAGTTAAAGAAAGAGTACTCATAATATATATAAAATAATAAGGGACAAAAGCAATGGAAAGGACGGTAAAAACTGTTTTCTCAAAAAAAAAAAAAAAACTGTTTTCTCCTTTGTTAACACTGGTAATTAATGAAAAGTTGCATTTTATAGCACTCCGATTTCAAACGGAATTAAAAGAATTTTCACATATTTACCCTCAATTGTCTTCGCTTCCTCTCCTTTCCCAAGCAAACTTGCAAATAAATGCCCAAGAAACTCTACCAAAATCAGAAACCAAATATTCACTTTCCTATATACACATTAATCTCTGGGGGAAAAAGTAACAAACAAGCTAAATTTACCTGTAATGGGTATGGCATAGGGCATATTAATAGTTATTTCCCATATACAGATTAAAAAACAAAAGGAAAGGATTTTTGTATGTAACATGCTCAGGATGACTGCAAAAGAAAATACTTAACAGACTTTTGTAATTCTCTACTTAAAGAAAAAAAAGGAAAGGAAACAAAAATTAAGTATCAAAAGTTTAACTGAAGTACTTAGACTTTTTTAAAAGTTTAATTTGAAGGACTAAATGCCCTTCCCCCTACATTTGTTTACACATTTTCAAAACTTTATAAGGTACATTTGTTAAATTATTGTGACAAGTATTCCAATACAAGCAACTGTAAAAGAAGAGTATTTTGGAAAAGCCCAAGTGAAACCAAGACATACAAAATAGAAAAATTACATAACTTGGAAAATGCAGTCTTTTTTTTAACTACTTAAATCCAAAGTATCACACTTAATCCTTAACAATATTTATATGTTAGTAAGACGACTGCCACTATCTAATGGAAAAAAATAAATATGGAGAAAAAAGTCAGAATAATCAAGCCATAACTCCCCCTTACAGTATCATATATGAAAAATGATATGATGATATATGCCAAGCACACAGTAAACACTACAGAGAGCTTTTTTTAATCAGAAGGAAGTTGCAAGGTTTTTAGTTTTCACTCCAAAAATAAAGACTTACCATCTTATTTTCTGACTCTCTTTAAACAGCACTTAAATTGATTTAATAATAAAGATTTGCTTAGTCTTTAAAGATAAAGCAAAAAAACTAGTTGGATAAGTGGAAAATCTAAACTTTAGTACACTTATATTAATACACGAAGTTTGAAAAAGCTGATTTTAAATGCATTATGGGCAACACCAATGTTCCAAAGTATCAGGACTCTGAAGACTTACTAATCCAACCATCCTATTCTGAAAAAACGTCACCTTTTGAGATACGGGATTCTAATTTCCACAACTTTACAATTTTGTTTGTTTTTAATCTGAGCCTTTCAAACCTTCCCCGACACCACTTACCTTATCACATGCATTACTGCTCTGCTTCTAATACTTAACTAGGTAACAACAAAATCACTTACAGAACATTGTCGAAAAATGCCGGGTGTGGGGGGAAAAGGGTGGGTTTTTTCTATTTCTCTGAATGCCCAAGAGATTTAAAAGGCAGAACTCACGGGAGTAAGGGGAGTGGGGGAGAAGATGCAGTTGTCTGGGAGCGAAAGGTTGTCAGAAGAGCAACGTGCTCCTTTACAAAAACACTAGAAATTGCAAACGGAGAATCAGCCTCCCCGTCCAAGCTTATCAGCTGTCAGAATCCCTACGCTCTCACCCAACAGTCACCCCGGCGGATCCTGGAGAAAAAGGCGTCTGTCCCTCGCGGGTCTCCTTCAACGACCCGAGGTGACCTTCGCCTAGCGGGGCAGTGAGGCCGCCTGGCGTACCCCGCGAAAGCCGAGAGGAAGTTAACCGGAAAACAAACGCTGGAGCTCCTCCGCCGCCCCTGCGCCGACTCATGCCCACCTCCGCAGGCAGCCGGGTGGCCATGGCGTGACGCCGCCGACCCGTACTCCATACTGACAAGTGTCCCCGCGTCTTCGCCTTTCAGTATTTAACCTTCTCGTGCCCTCCTTCCCCATTCCCTCCATTACAGGAACCAAAAACGAAGTGAGCGGTTGTGTCTGGAGGCAAAGAAGGCGGCCTGGCCATCCCCGGGAAGAGCCCCGGAGAAGGTAGGCAGCGGAAAGCTGCTGGCACCGTTCTTCCGGGACAGGGAAGGTTCAGCTCTCTAGGCCGCGAATCCGCGGCCTCGCGTAGTGAGAGGCGCCGAGCGAAGGCGCGGCGGGGCGGCGGGGCGCCGGCGCACATACTCACCAAATCTGGAACTTGAGCAGCGGCCCCGTGGCGTACTGCATCTTTAATCTCTTGCCAGGCACGCCACCCAGGTTGGCCGAGGCATCGCTCCGGACCACCGCTGACGTCGCCACCAGGAGAAGTAGCAGAAGCCTCATCTTAAACGAGCAAACCACTTCGGCCGCCCTCAGACTCAGACTGCAGCCGGCCCAAGGTAGAGCCGGAGCCGCGAGCTGCTTCCCACCGCGCAGGCGCGATCCGCCAAGGTCGTGAGGGAAGCTGGAATGCGCCTGCGTATCCCGGCCCCTGCGCGCGCTCTGGGAGGGAGAGCTGACCTGTTTCACGGTCCTGACCCACCATCTTGGATGTGCGCGGAGACTCTTGGGATGGAGTGAGATAGGCAGAGAACAAACAGCAGCTGATGGGATAGTAGAGGAGCCTGCTAATTAAAGCTTCTGGCACACCTGGGTTCTACATACAATTTCATGTAGTTCAGACTTTTATCTCCCCGAGACACTTAGGAACACCTGTTTGACAGCCTTGATTCAGGTGTGGGAGATAAAAGAGAAAGCCCCCGCCTTCCAAACCGGAATGCTTCACTCTTTCTGGGTGCATGCTATGGCCTTTTCTTTGAACTTGGAATATTGCGCTCTCCTAAAGGAGTCTTTTTTAAAAAGACCTTTGGAAAACTTCGACATATACAAGAACAGAATAATTACCTAACTCATTAACGACCTTTAACAATTACTGGTATTTTGGCAATCTTAATTGTCTATAGTACAGCTCCAACCACTTCTTCCCCAAGGAAGCAAATACCAGACATATCACTTCATCTATGGATTTTTAAGCATGTATCTCTAAAACATAACTTTTCTTTGGGGAGAAGAAAACTGACCACAATACCATTATCCCACCTTGAAAAATAAATTATTGCTTAATACCAAAATATCCAGTGTTCAAATTTCTCCTATCTTAAAGAATATTTATTTATTTTTATTGTTAATTTGTTCAAATTGTTACGGAACCAAGCTTGGGTCTGCTCACCTGTGGGCAGTAAACCAATTTACTGACACTGGACTGTAGTGAAGGAAAATGCAGCATTTACTGTAAAGGCGCCAATACAAGGAGGATGGGTGGCTTGTGCTCTAAAACCCTGAAACCCCTGGTGGTTTTGCCTATAAAAGTCTTTATAGGCAAAATTTAGCATGAGGGATGCAGGGTGTGCAGCTTTCTTCTGGTTGGTTGGTGGTGAGGTGCTCAGCTTGAAGTTACCATCCTCCACCAGGGTAGGGGCCTTAGTTCCTGCAGAAGAACTCAAGGATATTGTTATGTATATTCCCAGGGCTGCACTATTGTTTCTTGACTGCTCCTCCCTTGTTTCTGTCCCTTCCCTGATTAGCAACTGTTTGAATCTGCCCTTTGGAATTCAGGGAAGGTCAAGGAGTCTGAATGAAGCCTATTTGCTACAAACAAGAAACCAGAGACACAGAAAGGATTTGTACCCAGGAGAGCCCCACAGGGGCCCCACAGTTCCATTTCAAAATCAGGACCAAAATAAAAAGTAATCCTTTGCCATTGGTTGATACGTCTTTTAGATCCCACCAAACAAAGCCTTTAAGGTCAAGATTACACCAGGAATTGAAAAAGTTTCATGTATTATTCATTACAGCAAAGGGAACACACACCACAGGGAATCAAGGGGAGTCTCAGTAAGAAGGTGTTAGGAAGATTATTATAGCATCTGGGCTTTGGATGATTTGGGAAGAGTATTGGGAGTGCCAATGGAAAATTTGGTCATATTTTTTAAATAAAGCCTCAGAATGAATAAACATCAATCATTTTGGATTATTTAGCCCAGGTATTGCAGTTATGAAATACATCAGGTATGAATTCAAGAAATAGTTGAATAGGAAGTTCTCAATAAATGTGTATGCCCATAGTTTCTCATATCCAATAGTTTGAATGAAGCACACGATCAAAAATTGTTTCCTAATTTAAGGATGCAGTGAAAGTCTGAAAACATTTCATAATATTTGATTTCAACTCAAAGTGACTAAAACAAGTCTTATATATCTTAGTGAGATAGGAAGGGGGCAGGGCACAACCTTTAAAAGAATGACATAGCTGTTGAGGACATGACATAAACTGGTTAGAACCAACTAGGTCCAAGATCGTGGACGAGTAGACTTCCACTAGACCTTGAGCCTCAGTATATGCCCATCTACTGACAAACTCTGAGTACAGCAAGGTTGCTGGATATAAGCTCATTTTACAAAAATCAATAATTATCTTTCACCAACAATTGAAAAATGTATTTAAAAAAATGTATCCTTTACCAATACTTCCTAGAATAAATCTAAAATGAAAGGTGCAAAACTTTTATAAAGAAAAATATAAACCTTTCTACTTACTCTTCAAGGCCAATTCACTGTTTGTTCAGTGAAGTCTATCTTCAGCCCTTCCTGCACTATGCCCCTGAGGCACTCAGCACTGACCTCCTACCTAGTCATTATATAACACTGTAATCGGTTATTACTATGTCAGACTCTTCTGCTTTTAGCTGAGACTGGCAAGGTTAAGGACTGTCATTCTTCCTTGTAGTCCAGGTGACCATGGACTTCTTGAAATAACAATGAGAATGAAATGAGAACAAACAATATCAGCTACTATCTATCGAGTGCCTACTATATACAAGGTGCTATTAAGGGCTTTACCTATATTATTTTTATTTATTAATTACTGACACAGAGCAAATAATGTTTGAATGTGTGCATGTCATGGATGGTTAAGATTTTAAACAGTGAAGAAGAAAAGAGAACGTAAGCAAAAGCCAGGAGAGGGGTCGTTGCAGGACTGCTGTGCTAGAGGGGGGTTCCACTAGGGGATGAATGGGAAACCAGATTGGGAATGTAGGTGGGGCAGGTTGTGGAAGTCCTTGAATGCCAGGCTAAGCAGTTTAAATTTTTTTCCTATAGAAAATGGGAGCTATTGAAGATTGGCAGCATTATCAAAGCACTGTCTTAGGAAGACTGATGTAGTAACTGTGTGCATAGTGATTGAAGTAAGAAGTGTCTCAAGGTAGGAACTCAGATACAACAGGGAGTAGTTAATGCAGAACAATCATTATAAACCACTTTGACATAGCACAAAACCAGGGCACAAGGAATAACTAGACTTGCTGGGTTCTTGAGGAACGACTTCTTAAAGAAGATCGCTATAGGGTAAGAAAGTATTTCAACTGGGAACAATAAGATGTGCAAAAGTGGACAAGTGGAAAATCTCATTAAGCCTAGAAGGTTTCCACTGCTGGGGCCCAGACATGTGTGGTGTGGCTGGCAGGTAGACACATGTGTATGTGGGTTAGGGTGGGGGCACATGGAATTAATCCTTCTGGGAAACAATGTATTTTATGAGAAGGAACCAAACAACAAGAGCCCAGGCAGCGACAGAGCACAGGTCTTTGGGGGAAAGATGATTCCAAATCCAGCATAAGGACTGTTGCTCAGATTGTATCCCCATCCCAGCCCAACTCAATTCAAAAAAAGTGACAAGTCTAAAAGCCTAAAAATGCAGCACAACATTGGAACCCCAGAAGCACAACTTTTAACAACTCTCCCCCAAAAGAATATAATGTAAAGGGAAGAGAGACATTCTCCATCTTATCCAGGGACACAAGCTATGGCATGATGAAGCTCTAGCATATCAGGCTTATGATATGCTAAATATGCCCAGATGTTGAGAGAGACCCCAGGGCCCAGTGGAGCAACCTCAGGTGCCAGCAGAGGGTGGGGTATGCAGCAGTGCAGATGTAGCAGTTATCAGAAAGAAGTATGGTGCAATTAGGGGCAGTGGCAACACCTGATAAGAGTGAATTCATTTACTGAATATAAATCAGACATCCCCTGGAGCCTCCCAGACATACTTGGAAGTGGGGCAGGGGTGACAGGCATTAAATGGATTTGCATGTAGGACCAATGAGTCTGTGACATGTGAGCTGGTATTATTATTATTTTTTAAAATAAATTTATTTTATTTATTTTTGACTGCGTTGGGTCTTCGTTGCTGCGTGCAGGCTTTCTCTACTTGCGGCCAGCGGAGGCTGCTCTTCGTTGCGGTGCGCAGGCTTCTCACTGCAGTGGCTTCTCTTGTTGCAGAGCACGGGCTCTAGGTGCGTGGCTTCAGTAGTTGTAGCACGCGGGCTCAGTAGTTGTGGCTCACGGACTCTAGAGCGCAGGCTCAGTAGTTGTGGCTCACGGGCTTAGTTGCTCCGCAGCATGTGGGATCTTCCCTGACCAGGGCTCAAACCTGTGTCCCCTGCATTGGCAGCCGTCTTCTAGCCAGGAAGAGGGCCCTCACCAAGAACCAAGCTGGCCAGCACCTTGATATTGCACTGCCCAGCCCCCAGACCTGTGCAAAATAAAGGTCTCTTGTTCAAGCCACACAGTCTATGGTATTTTATTATAACAGCCTGAGTTAAGACAGTGAAGAAGCAATAATCATGTCTCTAGCTCAGGTGTTCTTCTGATTTAATTGGTCTACGATGAGGCCGGGGCACCGATGTATTTACGTTTCCCCGGACTATGAAGCCAAGTTTAGTGTACTAGACTTGAGGTCTCTTAGGGTATAGACTCAGGTCTTATTTGTCTTCAGATCTCCAGAGAACCCAGCAAATTACTATGAACATGGAAGTTACTTGAACTTTGATTGCAGTGAATGGTAATGGAAAATTTGGCAAGTGGTAAAAGAAGATAATTTGTCAACGTGTTAAATTTCACCTTTTGACTAGATAGTCAAGTAAACTTATGATGGAGATAACTAGTAATATGGTACTAGAAAGAGACAGAATGTACACATATGTATTTGGGGATAATTTAAGTGCACGTGGTAGCTAAAATTATGAAAGAACATCCATATGTAGTAAACACATAATAGTTTTGAGGCCTCAATTAAAAGCATTTGATACAAAGTAAATTAATATAATCATCTGGAATTGAACTTAAAAACAGTATCTAGAGAACATAGGCTGTATGGAAAAATATTATTTGAACCGAATGTATCCATTTCAAGATCGAAAGTAAGAAAGAAAGAAAGAACGCTGTACAAAATTTGAGCAGCAAGTTACCTTGTGGGGACTTCTTCATAATATTAATAAGGTGCATATTGTAGGAAGGCTCCCCAGCATTGACTCCCCCTCTTCTGGTAATGGCACTTCAGTTTCTCTTTGGAGGACTGGCCGGAACCCATTGCACA